GAGGAAGTAAACCCTTCCCAAAAGCAACGCGATAAGTGTAGATCACTTAAATGGAGTTATTTTATGTTTTAAAATTGGACAATCCTAAATAAATTTACTTGTGAAAAAAAGTACAAACATAAACTGATTATCTCTGAAATAGTAATTTTTATGTAAAAGAAATTAATTCCAATCACTTTATCTTAATTATTATAGATAGAAAATAGACAAGGCAGTGGGGCAAAAAAAAAAATTGTGAAGGAACAGCTGTAACCTCCTTGTTTATCCTGGGGAAAGAACATATGTCATCATACTTTCATCCACATAAAAACATCCAAGCAAGCCACAAGTCATAGTCAGAAGATTATGTAAAATAAAGACATTTAGGAACTGTTTATTAGATTACTCAGTTTTCTATTTCTTAATGATCTGAATGTCCTGCTTCATAGATTACCATGAACTTCCAAGACTGGGTACTGTCTAATGATTTTCACTACTAAGTCGGGATTATAGTATAAATGTTAAATTGAAATTTTACAATATTCCTGAACCCATGTAACAAAACATACTGCAAGTATTCTTCTAAGTATCTAAATTAAAAGGATCCTGTCAGATCCAGTCTACCGCAAGTGGTAGACAAAAACCACAGAAGAAAAGTAACACGCAAAATAATTAACATTACAGCAACCCAAATTCTAATTATGACATTCTTATACAGAAAAAAAATAGTTGAGTATTTTCTAATGATGTGTATATTTTAATCTAAATATAGTCAATTTTATGCCTCTGATTAACAGACACTTGCTCTGTCAGGACAATTCATTCTTTAGTCATATCAATTCTAGGGGGAAAACTCCAAATGACCCAGTAAACGCAGACATGGCATCCATTACAATTAAACAGCCAGTGTATGTAAACCTCACAACTTGTTTTCGTATCACAATGACAGCATGCAGTAATGAATTTTCTGTTCAGAAAGCCTTTGTAAGACCTGGAAAGGGAAAGAAATACATACTCCCAAATACTAATTACTCAGATGCTTAATACTCAGCCTCTTCAAAAATCTGGAGATCAGCCAAAAATTGTCATAAATGGTTTGACTTTGTACCAGAATACTATTTATCGGCATTCTTAATTTCTATATGTGCAGACAGACTGTGCTTAGTACTTAGCAATGAAGTAAGTAATAATAAATATAACAGCAGTGCTAATTGGATCATATGTAAGCGTTTGAGAATTTTGATTACAACCTAGAAGTCTTTATTAAATTCAGCTAAGGAACATCAACCACATCTGCTACAGCCATCACAGAACTGAAGGTGGTCATGTTCACAAGGGATGATGCAGAACGTCAACATGTTAGTGGCTACACACGTGTCACATCTGAAATGTGCAGACAAACAACTTGTCAGTACAGAACTACTTCTGCCTAAGCTAATAACCAATGGCTTATCTATACAATGAAGAGATCCAGTTACTTGTCTTGAAATGAGGATATGAGGTCTTGACCGACTGTACTGTGTAGGCAAACAAAGTGTTACCGGCAGTAGGTAGAAGGACAGGTGCCGAGTGCCTCTGTGCAGGATCTGCATGCGAGGGCACAGTTACGACACTGGGCGCTTCATCTTCTGTCTTTGTCTCTCTCCCCTTTCCCCCTCCAAACCTCACTCTAAAAGTTTTACATCTTTTTCATGCAGAAACATACTCCATTTTGAGAAGCTCAATGTTGTTACTTATTAAGAGCCAGGCATTTCTCATCACTATGCTGAAATGACTTAAAACAATGACCTAATTAAGAAACAAGTTTTAGCTTAAATACCACGAACAAAAGCAGCACAAAAGCAACCTCTCTCCTCCTTCCCATATTGGGTGTTGCTGTTCTATGCTACCAAAATGAAGAGAAACATGAGGGGCAAAAACTCATGCTGCCGAAATAAATAAAAAACCAGTGACCTCAAGAGGGAAAAATGTTTCACCTCAAATATATATGTGTAAAAAAGCTAATATCCAAAATGTGATCTGTTCTTCTATAATTAAAATCACAATGTTTCCATATTGTAATTTTTTTCTTTTTTGACACATACATATTTGAAAGTTGCTCATTCCACTGGGCAATATAGCAGTAATTACCACTGGAAGTTTAGAAGTACAGCCAATGGAATACATTTCAGAAATTTCAGTAAATTATTCTGGTCTGGTTTTAATTTTACAAGCTCAGTAATGTTATGGTTGTTACTACACCCAAAATAAAAATAAAGATTGAGAACAAACCGTGAACCTATTTAAATAAGATTGTAATTATTTTTTCATTTTCTAGGATAATTTTCAAGACTTCATTACATCAGTTGATGATATATACCCCAAACCAAAGAAATGAAGCCTTTAATATAAATAAAGTTTTACTTAAGTAAACTTGTTACAAAAAGAATTATTTAAAACCCATACATTTACTTTGTTTGAACTTTAACTAGCAGAACAGATCTAATTTGTGTCATTAAAATTTTTCAGGCACAATAAAAGCTAAAAATATGTCCTTGCTGAATGGTGAAATGAGATTTCCACAGACTACGCGTGCCTTGTTTCCCACAATCAAACTGTCACAGCATGAAAACATTCTCCTGTGTGTGGAGGTTTTGATACCCATTTCCCCGGTGAAAGTGTGCAAAAGGATCTGAAAGAGTTATTGACAATTCATACAGTATCCCATATTTCATTAGATCGTACAAGCAGAGAACAGAACTCTGAAGGGAGATGAAGCAACAATGTTTTAAATGACTATTGACTCCACTACATTTCCTGATAATGTCAGACGACTGTAGTCTGTCAGGTTCATAGGAGACTCAAGATGATACAGGAATCCAATTATGCGAAGTCTATTTAGTTGTCCTGTTTGCTAAGCCAAAGGTTAACGAGAACTGCACTGAAAAAACCTCCTGTGGTATTACAAAGTATTTCTTATGCTGCATAACATGTAAATGAAAAAGTATTTTAATCAAGTCTTTGTTTAACTCTTTAATTGCAACAGAGTACTATACAATACAGCGAATGAAAAACTCACGACGGAAAAAGTGATTTCAAATTTTGCCTCTGAACTAAAGACATCATGACTTATTGCTAAAGTAATTATTACTGAGTATTTCCAATCTGCAAAGGAAAAAATGTTCAGATAACAGAACCATAGATAGTAATTCCTAACATTAAATCTTTATAAATAGTAAGCTATGGCCTCTAATTTTAGACAAAAATTAATTATATTTTTGTTGGTAACACATTCAAATCTGTTTACACAGCTGACAAGTCTCAGCTGTACCAGACTCCAGCAGTGAGCTTTGAGGACTCTCCTGCTTTGGAGCAGATGACTCGCAATTCACCAATTTCATTAAAGATGAAAAGGGGAAAAATTCACCTGCAACAATGTCACTTGTAAAAACAGACTTAAAACAGATTTATGAGTTTTACGTATGTGAGGTATCCCATTCAATAGAAAGCGGGGGGGAATACGGGAAAACCTAACAGCTGTGGGAAAATGGATTAGAAGTGTTGAGTTTCCAATTCTTTTTTGGGCTAATGTAAACTAATAAAATGTTAAAATGGATCCGCGTTTCAAAGACTGTAATTACCACATGACACCATGCTGTTATTTCAGACCTTACATCTATCGTCTCAGATATGCTCCTGAATACATGGACGTAGATTTACCCAACTCTCTCAAACTTAACTACTGTTTCTGCAAACACTACCCTAGACTTATTATACAAGTATATTAGAAATTCAGATAGTCTTTGGCTTTTTTGGTTTGGGGTTTTGGTTTGGTTTGTTGTTTTTTTGTTGTTTTTTTTGTTGGGTTTTTTTGATTGGCATAAACCCTTTACCCAGAGCAAAAAAGCAGCAGTCTTATTCACACAGCAATTCTCCCTCTGCAAGAAGAGAGTAGAAACGTACAGGAAAGCAATGCTTTGAAGATAATGTTAATTAACATAGAGAAAGCAAATCCCCATTTCATTTTCAGTTTGTAGAACAGTCAGGTTAAATCCCTAGTCTAAATGAACGATTTTATAAAAATACAAAATTTCTTTCTACATTTTTCTCAGGTCACAAAATCTATACACAACATAACTACAGAATTAATTCAGCCTTTAAGGCTTTTTTTTTTTTTTTAAATAAAGGAGGGTCTCACTAGCTGGCAGTGGGAACATACTACCAGAAGAATACTGTCTGAGCAAAACTGAAAGACATGCTGTAAAATACAATGTAGGGACAACCATGCAATGAAGCAAGTCTAATATTTAATGGAATTCCACAGTTAAGTCCCACAATTTAATGAATTTGTAGGAAATTCAGTCAGATGATTCTGTTACTGAGGGTACACATTGATCTCAGCTAATATTTCCTTCCATTTCTAAATAATGGTAATTCTAAAAGCTGCAAAATGCATTTGAAAATTGAGTATCTATTGTACAGTATACATATTATTTACTATTTCAAAATGTAATCTTGTGAATGTCCATACATTCTTGCTGGCCCAGCAAGAGCCAAGGTAGATAACCTGAAAAGCAAGTGAAGCTCTCCACTGAGCTCAACAGCAACACCTCCTGCTTAAAGGCAGACACAGGCTTAAGCATACCAATGATCTGATGGACACAGCCAAGCAAAATACCTAGATATGCACTCAGAATACTTGTAAAAACCAGGACTTTTTCCTGAAGTTCAATCACTGCAATAGACCTCCTCAACTTCCAAAATGTTGCGCAGCTTTGCTCGTCCTCGTCTAAAACATGCACTGAATTTTTGACACATGAATAATTTCCATGGAAATGTGCATCACTAAGCCGATACTTTAGTATTAGTATCTTTCAAGATAAAGCTCTGAATTATGTGTTATGATTATATGTTATGAATTATTATGTTATGATAGCTTTTATTGTCCCCTATGCAGTAACCTATCGGGTGACTCTGATCAAAAATTCAAGTAAAATCATCTATTAGCAGGAAGCAATGAAATGAGAACCAAAGCTGCTTACCGAGTCATCTGTAGCAGAAGGAGGCCAGCCTTCCCATAACTGGTGACGGACAGGGATACTAGTTAGGTCATAGACATTCCGCTTTACCTGGTAAAAAAATAAAGTAAATTTTAAAAAAAACAAGAATGTATACTAACAAAAGCATAGAGGCAAATGGCATTATTTTCATCATAATCCCCAGCTTTTTATTTTAATTTTTTCCAGTTACTGTAAAACAGGTTCCTCTAACACTCAAAGATCCAGATCTGTTCCACAGGCTTACATACAGTACTGCCAATTTTCAGTGCTACCAAAAGCAATTGAACAAACTATGTTAAAGAAAAAAAAGTCCATAACATATAATTTGTAATGAGTCATTATTACTGAAGTATCATAAATGTGTAAAATAATTCATAATACAAATTTTCATAGTAAACAGTATCACAAAGTAATGGACAAAACAAGGGGATGCAGAGGGTATTAATAAAAATTAGTTCATATATTTTAGTTAATATTAAAATTTTAGGTTCATGCTACATCTAATGTAATAAGAATACAACTAGTTTCGTGTAAGCTTCTGAAATGGGATCCAAAATTAAAAGTGAGTATATTAAACATGAAAATAAGAATTAATAAGCACATTTCCAATGAAGACAACACATTTCAAACATTTATTAACAAAATGCAAGCAAACTAATTTTTACATTAACTCTTTTCTCATGCTATTAAGATACAAGTTGCTACCATTAATCATCTCACATGATGGTTGTCAGGAGGAAGAGAGAGGGAAAAGAAGAAAGGGTTGAAAATTTCAAATACAGAAAGAATGCTGCAAAATACAGCAAACAAATTCCACAAAAACATTAGCACAGATAAAAAAACTGACATGTTTTATCACAGGTTTTGTGGCAAGTAGTTACTTAAACCACAAAAAGATGTAGTTTTCTACTTGGGATAGAGAGTGATATCTCAAATTCTGAATGGTATCTTATACCTGAATGTAAAGGCTGCACAAGGAATGAGCAGATGTAAATGCTGCCCAGCTGGACCAGCACTGTGAACAACAAAAAGCTTACAGCAAGCAATGTTGGGTTTTGGTTTGTCTTCCATAAAACTGCTGGGAATACAAGGTCCTCCTCTATCTTCACAGGTCTATTTTAGTTTCCAAGTACAGATGTCAACAACTTATATTATATACAGAAAAACACTCTCAAATAGATAAAAGTAAGGTTTGATACATTTTACTAATGTTCTACATGACCATGCACTAGATAGAATATCTGAGGAAATCAGAAGTTCTGCATCCTGTTCCCAGCTCTAAGAGGGCTGTACAGTTTAACGTTAACAGACACAATAACCAGGTGTTTGACACATCAAACCAGAAGATACTAAGGCAGATGGGTAAGATTTTACTTAAAGCAAATGCGAAGACTACTCCAAAACCTGTCCTCTGATGCCTTCTTTAGCTTTTCATTTGTTCACTTGTCAGCTGGAAAGAACCAACAATTAATTGTATTCTAACTTCTACTACGAGTATTACTAATAATTCTGTGAACTGAAAAAAATCATATATAGTTGTCAGCAGAAAAGATCTTTGAGCTAACACCTTGTAGTGTAGCACACTTACCTTAAGTTAACAACTTTCTCTGAACAGAGAAATAATTAAAAAAAAAAAAATCAGAAAGTAAGCTGAAATTTGTCAAAATGAGGAATACTAACATAATCCACGTATTTAAAGTTTTCCTAGTCAAGAAATGAATGAAAGGTAATTCTAAACTACCATTCTTAGGAAGATAATGCAATAAAACAAACGACCCACTATGCAGACATTTTATAGAATTTTACCCTACCTATTAATCAGTACTTGCCATAGCTTCGTCACAGAAGCACATCTGAGTTTCTAATACATGGTAAGGTAGTACGGTAATATAAACATATGGAATGTACATATGTTCTCTCAAAATTTGTCATTTATTTTTAGTACAGAATGTATATGCAGCATCTGGCAGTAGATATTAATCTAAAAATGTGTTTGCATAATGAAATAGCACCAAAACTCTTTTCCTCTGGATCATCTTTAGAGAGGAATGCTGCATGGACCCTTTCTTTCCAATTTTGCCCATTCAGTGCAGTTCAAACACATTAATACATGGATGAAGGATACCTGTGCAGACATTAAGTGGTAAAAGAAGTGTTCTAATAATTGTAAATATCCTAAGGGGCTGAGGGAGGAGACAGGGATTTCCACACATACGCTTGCTCACAAATGTTGGTTTGGGCAACATTCTTCAAAAGACTCTTCATGGCCCTGCTGCATGAGTTTGCCAACAAATAAATACTACTGAGAAAATTCAGGGCATATAGAGAGCAAAGAAAGTACAGTGCTATTACTATATTTCCAGTCTCCAATCCTCCATTCAATTATTGTTGCTCATTCTCATTACTTGTAGTAGTAGTGGTAGTAGTAGTAGTATCATTATTTCATACTAATGAAGTGCCTCTTACTAAATTAATTTCACATTGCTGGACAGATTGAATATATCGGCATGGGAATATGAATTACTAGAGTTAACTAGGCTATGCAGATAATAATTTCAATACTATCAGTTAAAGCTTTATACATATTCTGCACAGATAAGTGGAAAACAATGGCTTCAATTTATTATCCAACAGCAACATACATTACTTCCAACTCTGATTCTACATCTCACTGAAGCATGAAAGTCAGACCATGTGGGTTCCTTATTTTGACATTTCATAACATATATTTGGGTTGGATTTCCAGCTCAGCTTTACATTCATTGTATGTTTTAGAATCATTAGGATATCTCTCCTTTTTTTGTAAAACTGGTAAATTACATGTACACCCAATAACCTTTATGTTAATACTGGTTTTGTTCAGGAGTTTTTGCAGGGAGACTGATCTGGTAACTACGTTTCATTTAAAAAATTTACAACTACATTTTAATTAAAAAGCTAAAATGAGAACACTGTTTTGTTTAAAGACACAGAATTCTGAAGCATTTATTAGCCATTAAAGTGGAGTTCTTCCTCATAATTAAGCATGTCGTCATGCTTTAAAAAACACACATATACTGTAATTATTAAAAACATATTTAAATTAATTTCAAATATATATATGGTGTTTATATATATACATGCGCATATGTATACACACATGCACCTGTGAAAAATGAAATTATGGAAGATCGACCTCTATACAACTTGGTATATGATCTCATTCCTACTGTTCAAAACAAACAGCCTTTCTTCAGTGCTTCTTAACAAGAAAGTAGCCTGCTGTGCAGTATTCATTTTGCAGTACTATCAAGGTAAAGAGATGCCATTACTCCATACTGACCCCACAGCAGCCCACCAAAATGTAACAATACTGATCTGTGATCACAAGAATACGGTTCTTCCAATTTTAGTTTTCTTGCATTAAATACCAGGATAAACTGTCCCTGTGAGATAACCAGGTAACTCCAATTACATATCAAAAAAAGTCTATTAATGTTATTTTCACAATATAAAATTCTAAAATGAGCTATTTTCAAATAAAAAGGGAAACTTATTTACAGAAACGTGGGATCAATACCACTACATAATATTGTTTTCAAAAAGCCTTCAGAAGTAAAAATAAATAACTCAGAAGTCACATTCCTCAAATTCCCTTTTAATTCCAAAGTACAACAGAAAGGCATTATGAAAAAAACAGTATTTCCCTTCTTTCATTAACTCATCTGTAACTGCACTGAATTCAATAACATTCCTCTGCTATTCTAAGCTTGAAAGGCATGCTCGGGGTAAAGTGTTATGTTGGTATAAAGCACAATGCCAGACTGATGTGCTGGACAAAAGTGATCAAAGTTGAAGTAATTTTAGCCAACGCACAAGTATTCTGCTGCATTATTCTACCAGAATGACATCTGTTGAGCAACTCGTCGCAGAATAAACTAGTTGTTACAGACAGACCTGGTCGGGTAGGGGACCATGTAAGACTTATTAGAGTAATGTTTGATTAAACAAACTGCTTGAGTTAAGATCATAACTGGATTTGGAATTCATGCCAAAGTAGTCCTCTTTCAAACAACAAGCCACAATCAATTTTTAAAGATAAAATAAGCTTGCTTTTAAATAACTATTTAATTTTAGGTTTCTTTGATAATTAGAATAGTATTAAGAGAGCAGACTGCAAAAGTTTTAGAGACAAAGAACATTTACCAGTCGAGAACAGAAAACCCCTTTTTATTAACTGACTTCAATTCAGTTTAAAGTTAAAAATTCTGTAAGGAGGAAAAGTTCTGGAGACACGTAAAAAACAGAACTATAAACTGCTTCCTTACTAGGCCAGTGAAATAAAAACCTACAGCCATACTCGTGCAACTGAAAAAAGTTAGCACAGTAAGCGGATGAAGTCTATGTTAAAGCTTTTACTTCTAAATTCACACGATACTGATAGGAGGACTGAAATCTGTACAGCCTTGTGTAACCCAAACTAACTTCTAGTGCCATCCACTGAGCTACGTGTATGGGCAAACTTTTTGGTTCTCCACCTTTGATCAGTTCGAAATACTAATTGGTGGCATTGTCTTCGTGCAGCCCCGAATTTCTTTTCGGAACGTTCAGATGCCATGGTGACTGGCACATTACTATGGCAGCCGCCCTTCAGATTATAATCTTCAGAATATACGATCATTTAAAAACAAATTAAAGGCACATCTCATCTATTTGGTTGCACAACTCAGCTGTGAACAGTATCAATACCACCATTTAAACAACAACAAAAAAAATCCCGCCGATATTTCAGAATCGATTTTACTTGGAAAATTAAGTATAATTCCTGCAGAATGCCCTGCCTTGCAGCTATACACTGATGCTGGAAAAGCACATGAAGTTTTACCTTCAGCTCATTTTCACTGGTGTTAGAAGGGAGTTACAATGTTAAACAACTTTTAACATTAAAAAACCAAAAACACATCAAAGTAGCCAACACGTTGAGAAAGCTTCGCAGTCTTACTTTCTTATCTTCCACTGTTTTTTTAAGCAGAGGAGTATGCTTTAATACGAAAGTTAAACACAAAAGATACACTTTGTTTGTAGGTATG